TATATTTTTTATAGAGACCGGTTTATACATCAAAGTTATCCGATTTAATCCAGTTTAGTCATGCGATTCGACCAGTGACATAGTGGTCTGACCAATGAACCAGCGACTCAGTACCTTTACCGATTTGATGACCGGTCTGATTTTTAAAACATTGGTTAAGCCAATAACACTTTTTTATTGTAAAATAAACTATTTTTTATTGAATAATAATAATAATTTTTACAAAATAAATTACTTTTTATTGAATAATATATAGTTGCAGATAATAAAATAAAAAAGAAAAACAGAAATAAAATAAAACTATTTTCGGCAGACTTTTACATGAATAAATAAACACTCAGGTTCATCAACTATAAAACTAATGTAATCACCAACTTTCAAGTTGCATTTTATATTGAAGGTGTTCCAACCATATTCAAGCTAGAAATAAGTGTTGTGGCCATCATTTGATGTACGAATGATTTTATGGCAAATGTCTTGATCGTACTCATTAATGAGATCTATATCGGAGATCTCCTTATCCATAAAACAATAGTATGATACTTCTTTTGGAACATACTAAAAAAATAGTTCAAAATATGTATTGATTATATATCATTATAATTATTGTAGGATAATTGTAAATAAAATATTTAACATATTTGATCCATTGATGACAGAATCAGATACATCTACTTTCCAACAAGATTGATAAATAATTGATTGCTTGATGATCTTGATTTATGTATACAAAGAAAAATAAAAGAATTATGATGAATTGATAATACTTGAATTAGAAAATATTAAGATATAGAAATGGTAGGTACCAACTTAAGGGAAATCGCGATCTAAAATGCAACAGAAATTAAAATTTTCTCTTAAGGGTAAGAAGAAAAAGGATCTTTTTCAAAAGAATCTGACTTGCTAGATGAAACTTTTGGTGCAACATTAGAGGCTTCAACAGCCAAAACAAAAGAAGAAATCAAAAGTCTCTGACCAGGAAGTAAATGACTTAAAAACCAAAGGAAAAAAGCACAAAGCAACATGGGAATTTGATATCAATGTATCGGTTGAGGAAGAAAATGTTTAAGAGATTGAGGTAGAGGAATATCCTAAAAATGAGGGGAAAGAAACAATAGATGACTTGATTGACTAAGCTAACAAAGACAATGAGGAGGTGGGGAAGATAAATTCTAAGAAATAAGACAAAGAAGATGATAGGTAAGATAAAGATTTGGCCGAAAAAGAGAAAGAACCTAATGAGGCTGAGGCAACCCAGAATGATGAGGGAATTTGTTCAAAATTTTATTATTTTGCAGGACCAAGAAATTTCTAAAGAAGAAAATCAAGAAAGTAATCAAAAGAATAAATAAGGGCACAACCCAAATGCTGATAACGATGAAGAATGGGAAATACCTCATTTCTTTAAAACGCCTAAGGTTGCAACACAATACCAAATGAGAGAGTTAATAAAGAATGTTGAGTCTTCCATGCTAGGAATTGGGATGATAGAAAGCTACAAAGAAGATGAAATATTGAAGCAACTTCAGAAGAGTTCTAGCGTGCTAGAAAGCCTGACAAATGCAAAGAGCTTATAAAAGGTTAAAAGTCCAGCTAAAGGAAAAGATCCAAAGAATTCTAAAAAGAAAAGTTGCTCTCCTGACACGACCAAAAGTGTCATATATCAGGATCTTTTATATAAGACCAATAGCACACACAATATACCCATTTAATAGTGTAAATATTGCAAGGAGTTGAAAGGTTTCCACGTGTTTAAGGCATGTGTCATAAAAGATGTATACTCGTTTTTTTAATGAAAATCATCATGAGTTGCATTAAATGCCACCCACATTCATTTCCCACTAAACGTGCAAGCTTTCATAACTAAATGATATTTCGATATCTCTGGAATCATTTGCGTGATGCTTAACGTCCCCCGCAAACACCCTAGCTACTTGGGAATTATATGGCAATGAGTTAGTGACTCACCCTCCAATTAAAGGAGTCTCTTACAGCTGAAGGACTCGCCTTCTAACTAAATGAATTGCATACGCCTGAAAGACTCACCTTTAACTGAGGGACTCGCCTTCAACCGAGGACTCACCCCTAGCCACAAAGTTCAGCTAAAAGGAAGTTTAAAACACTTCCCTTTTACAAGTTCCCATGCTTGAAGATTGTGTATATATTTATAAGGGCACCTGAATAGGGTGATGCAAGTCCTTCATTGGACGCCCGCCCCATGAGGTGTCGCCTTGGGCATGTCATTTACGTGGCACAGGGGCTCGTCCCAAAGGAAGACGAGGATAATATTGTTAATCCAAGTCCCAAACTTCACGCAAGGAATCATGTCATGACTCCCGAAAAAATAGGTAGTCAACAATTTCCCCCGTCAAGGAGGAACGGTTGCCACTTCTTAAAGGATCCTTGAACCCTAAACCCAAATATCTTTATAGATACCTCTCCCCAAGCGAGAGAGAGAGAGATCATAACATACTCAAAATATCTCATAAACACATAGCATCTCATCTCACGTGAGTTTGCTCTCGCTAAAATCAGAAACAACATCAAACAGAGTCTCTTCCCGCTGCGGGGAAGCACTAACTATCGAAAAACTACTAAAACATTTAGTCATTCCTTTTAACTAGCTTAGAAGTACCATACACTCTTGTACTTCAACTTAAACTTATTCAAATGTTAAATTTTTAGAAGTACCATACACTCTTGTATTTCAATTTGAACTAGCTTAAAAGTACCATACACTCTTGTATTTCAATTCAAATGTTAAATTTTTAAAAGTACCATACACTCTTGTATTTTAATTTAAACTTATTCCGATGTTAAATTTTAGTCAACGGGTCTAAAGTCATAAGTGACATTAATATTTTTTACATAAACGTTATTAATAAGTTCCTATGTGCTTATCAATGTATTCTTTTATACATCGTATACATTGTTGATATATATATACAAAATTTCAACAAAATATTTAATTTCCTATGTGCTTATCAATGTATTCTTTTATAACTATACATTTAAAACTAAATAAGTTTCATAGTAAAAAATCGGCCTCTTTAATTTTAATCTATATAAAGTTTTTTAACTGACCTCAGTATAAACCATATTAGAAAGACACGAAAAACTAATTCACATGACCAAAAATTTAGACTAAGAAAAGACAACTCTTTGCATGAGAGAATATACATTTAAGCTACCGGGTGTGATGCTACTATTTAGGAAAACACTAAAAGAATGTTCATTTTCTTCCACATTTTTCTCTTTTCTTTTCCCATTGGACTCTCTTTTCTAACTCCATATAACCATGACATAAAATATCAACCTCACACACACACACAAAATGCTAGCTAAAACAAATTAACTTCGACTTGTGTCAAAAATGGAACCTTACACTTTGCATTCATCATTTGAAATGCTTATAAAGTTTATGAACACTGATGTTTCATCTAACCATCTTTTTATGGTACTTCTGGTAATAGGTTTAGCAACCTTTTACTTTGCATGTAGAAGAAAAATACACATTTATTTGATAGATTTTAATTGTTACTGTCCTCCAAGTTCTTATAGACTACCTAAAGCAATGTTTGAAGAGAACAATGTTTATGATGAAATGGACCAAGAAGCTGTTGATTTCCAAAGTAAAATCAATGCGAAATCTGGATTCAGCGATGAAACATCCATTCCTCCATGTCTTGCTCAAATACCGAAAGTTAAGGCTCTCGCCTTTGCACTTGAAGAAGCTGAAATAATAATGTATACAGCAATTAAAGATCTTTTAACAAGAACCAAAATCAACCCGAAATCCGTGGATATTTTGATAACTAACAGTAGCATTTTCTGTCCTACGCCGTCTCTTAGTTCAATGGTGGTTAACAAGTTCATGATGAGAAGCAACATCATGAGCTTCAATTTATCAGGTATGGGATGCAGTGCTGGAATTATAGCAGTTAGTCTTGCTAAAGACTTGTTGAGAGTTCATAGGAACTCAATAGCTTTAATAGTAAGCACAGAGACACTTAGTTTAAATTGGTACACAGGGAAAGTCCCATCTATGCTACTAACTAATTGCTTATTCAGAATGGGAGGATCAGCTGTATTGATGTCTAGTAGGGTTCAAGATAAGTATAAGGCGAAATATGAGCTACAACATGTTGTAAGAACAATCAATGCATATGATGATCAATCTTATGCATGTGTCTACCAGGATGTGGATTCAGAGAACAAGGAAGGTGTATCGATATCGAAAAATATAGTCAATGTTTGTGGTGATGTGTTGAAGAAAAATATTGGTTCATTAGGACCATTGGTTTTGCCATGGAGGGAGCAATTTCTGTATGTGATTTCAATTCTTTGTAGCAAAGTATGGAGTAGAAGAACAAGTATATATACTCCAAAATTTAACAGGGCTTTTGAGCATTTCTGCATACATTCAGGAGGAAGAGCTGTTATACAAGGCATTGAAAGAAACTTGAAGCTAAAAAAAGAGGATGTGGAGCCGTCGAAAATGACTTTATATAGATTTGGAAACACTTCATCTGCTTCAATTTGGTATGAGTTGTCCTACATAGAAGCAAAAGGGTGGATGAAATGTGGAGATAGGGTGTGGCAAATTGCCTTTGGAAGTGGATTCAAGTGTAACAGTGCAGTGTGGAAATGTCTATGTGATGTTAAGCCTGATATCACCACTGCATGGAGGGACACAATTCACTCATACCCAGTAGATGATATTTTGTGAACATTTGATATGAATTATGAACACATTTAATTGTTCTTGGACTTTGTTTGACTTGCATAAATGTGAAACCAGAATATCGTACCATTTAGATTGTTCTATTAACTAATTAAATACGGAAATATTAATTTTTGTTTGAAGTTTTACAAATTAACTCTTCCACAAGTATGAATAAATAATTGTACAACAAGATCTCGAGGTAAAAGCTCATCTAATCAAAATGCCTTGTCTGTGTCAGTTGTATTACTTGACTGAATAAATGAGGCCCGCATGACTAGAAGCGACGAATGTCTTTAGGAGGCCTGAAGTTAAGGGGATGTGTTTCTGGTGTGGCATTGTCATCTTCTTTCCACATTTTTATGGTCTTGTCGGCTTCGCATGATATAAGCCTCGTACCCGTAACATCATAGGTTAAAGCATAGATACCAGCCTCGCTGTCCAGGGAACCTGTATAAGAGGGGAGGTTTGGGAAAGATGAAAATAGATGAGTAATTATTTTGTCAAAAAGAAAAACATAAGAATACTATATGCAAACCATAGTGTATATGATAGAACAAACTAGCATCAAACTGAACATCTTAAAGGAGCCAAATATGCATACCAGGTTGTACAATTGTTTGAGATTGCTGGAAATTGTGACCACTCTTCCAATCCCAGAACCACATACTGCCATTGTCACCTGAAACGGGGAAAAGTAAGAAGCTTAAAGCTGAATTCCATATGACAAGTCAAGATTATCACATGATCGCCGACAGAATTTATTTTATTCACTCTGTCAAACACTCGCCGACAGAATTTATTTTATTCACTCTGTCAAACACTTGCCGACAGAATTTCATTAAGTTCTAGGCCAATACCTCCAGTAACCATAACACCCTCCTCATTGACAGCCATTGCATTGATAATAGTTTTCTGTTGAGAACTGCACATGCAACAAATAATGAAAACAGATCAATTATTATAAAACAATCTTTTTCCAACTGATATCTTTGAAGCAGTATAACTTGAACATGAAGATTAATTATAGACAACAAACAAATTGTACTTGGTTTTGTGATTTATCTCACAGGAAACTATCCGATTCTTTATTAATATTGGAGTATAGAAATGCTCAGCTGATACTATCCTTTTTCTACGAGTATATCCCGTTTATTATCTTGCTTTTTCTGTTTTCTGACATTTGTATTAATTGCAGCTTGCACGGTTTCAGTTCAATGCTAGAAGCTTAGAACCGCTCAAATTGAAGTTTCAGAATAAACCGCTCGCACCTGCTCCTTCGGTCAGTGTTGGTAAGGTTTCCCCTGTTGATTCTTCCCTGTCTTATCCACCTCACGCAAATATATAACCTAGTAGCACACTCCCATCACCCCTCCCATACTTTTGGCCTTCAACTTTCTGTTAATCCAAGGGACAGCTAGCTGTGGTGATTCTGGTGGCCGCTGCAGAGGCCATGGAGGTCAGGATTTGATTAAATGCCAAGTGTTCCACAGAGCAGACAATGTTTGACCGGTCAAAGGCTACTAGTGTTTTCTATATGCTAGTACATAAATGATATTATAGTTAATGGAAATAAGCCTTCACCAAGTCCCTGAACTTTTCCTCAAACAACTTGGAGATTTTCAGTGTGTATGTAGAATTGAAGTTCAAATTTTGGATGATGGGTTTCAAATTCTTAGTCAGAGTGAGCATATTTGAGACCTATTTGCAAAATATACTACAGCTGAAGCTAAACTAATTTTCTCTCGAGTGGTTGGAGGCAGCAAATTATTCAACATGGTGCTGAAACAGCAGATTTATTACAGAACCCAATACTGTAATAGTATATTATTGCAGATCTATTACAAAATCTAATACTTAAATACTCTGCACTCAGTATCTGCCATCTGAATTGCACAATCCTTGTTTAGTTCCTCACATTTACTGTGACAATCTTAGCCAGGAGACTCTCACACAATATAGCCAAAATAAATGGAACTTGACTTCTTTTTTTTCAATTAATAGATCTTCTCACCGAGGCTCTTTTCACCTCTAGATTCACAGTTTGTGATCCATTCCAAGCTAAAAGTTTATGCTTCATCTAAAATTCTCAATGGCTCAAACCATCTTTTATTAGTTTGAAGGGGAAGTATAGAGATGATCGGTTGATAGTCTTCTTTCTACTCGTCCATTTTTGTTTATATTATTTTTACTATTATTTGAGTGTGTTATGTTATTTGTTATTTTATCTTCTGAACTTTAAGAAGATCATAGTTCACTTGGCTCCCTCACAGTCTTGGAGGATCGTGGTTAAAAAAGATAAAGCCCATTAGGTCAGACAACCCACAATGTAACAGCAGCAACGCAGGAGCCGCTTTTTGCTTCTTCCTCCACTATCTGAGACTCTACTTAACAATTACAATCAACCTTCATTTTTCTTTCTTCTACCATAAACGATAAATATAATGATCACACAAGTTTGATAAGAATAAGTTAATGAACTCACAGCATATTGTGACAAAACTCTCCTTTTGGAAGGGTGAACTTTTTAATATTATCAGCCGATGCAGATGCAAAAGCTTGCCTGCAGCCAACAAAGAAGGAGTCAGACTTAGAAGACACTGAAATAACAATTTTCAATATTTTAAAAAAAAAAAACAACCATAATTAGATAGTTAACCATGCTACAAGTAATAACCAACTGATATTGAAGACGTACTCTTTAGGATGTGGAGCCATAGCTCGAACAGACTTTTTATGGTTTGTAAGAGTTAACATTGTTTTACCTGCATGAACACATTTTGTTTAAGATTGAGTACAAAACACGTACAGGAACATTCAAGTGCATATAATCAAAGCACAAGCAGAGAAAAACAAGATATGAAAAATCAACAATAAATTACCATATCTAAGGTCCCACATCTTGATTGTAGAATCATGAGAACCAGTGACAACTTGAGGATCCTATTAAAAAAAATGAACCAGAATAAGCCCCCCAAAGGAAAAAAGGTTTAAAAATATAAAAGTATATTAGGACATGTCTCAAAGCTGAATTTGAATGCTGAATCCTGTGTACGGATTTATCATATCAAAAAAAAAAAAAAGATATCAATATGTCAGTGGAAAGAACTAGGGGCATGTGGATTACTGACTATACAACATTATGATTGTCAAAATAAAAATACAGACAACAGGAGAAGAATCTGCATACCGTTGGCCGTGTGAACACAGAGCAGACAGTGTTCTCGTGACCTGAAAGAGCGTGAATCTGCATTTTGCTACGTATGTCCCAGACCTGAAAAGTTAGCATCGTCAAAGCATAGTGATCACATTCTACTTCCTTCATAATATTTTTAAATAAAAAATGGAATGAATGAGCAGAAAACATTGCTTCCACCTAAATCTAAATGTATCATCAAGTAACTATATCAACAAAGTCCATACCCGGCAGACAGAATCACGTCCCCCAGTCAGTAAAATGTCAATTGTGGGATGAATAGCCAAGCAATAAACACCACTCAGATGGCCATGATAAGACCTAATAACCTAAATAAAATAATATAACATGCTTTAGTGGTTAGACATTTGATAGAGTTCGGTAATTGCTGAAATATTCACCAGAAAAACAAATACTGAAATGGGATTTGACCTTATTCTGTTCAAGATCCCAACATTTAACTTGTTTATCGTCACCAGCAGAAAACATGTATGTATGTTTGCTGCTAATAGCAAGGCCTGTAGAGAAAACATATTGTTAATACTAATCCAGTTCACAATAGAAAGGCCTGTAGAGAAAGCACTTTGTTAATACTAATCCACTTCACAGTAGCCGCCACCACTATTGAATATTTATACCTTGGCTCCTCACCTCTTACTTGTTCGATGTGGCCTGTTAATGTGAGCTTTAGAACACCACTTGCCAGGTCCCATATCTGCCCAAATGAACAACTTAGCAAAAAACATCGAAAGCTTTGAATAGGACAGAAAAAAAATTATAAACTCGACATGAATAAGTTAATAAACTACTTCAAAGTTCCTAGATTCAGTTTGTAGCAAATATATGGTACTAATGAGACAATACTTATAATTAATAAATAATTGACATGTTGTGTACAGATAACTCTAGAAAAAATTATAGAGAAAGTTAATTTTTAATATTTAACAAAAAAAAAAAGTAGCAGTTTAAAACTTGAATCTGAAACTAATTAACAAAAGGCATAAGCATGGTGAAGCAGTTCACAAGCAAAACATACACCGTACATGGCACGGATTACTGCACTAGTTACAACTTACAAAGACAATTGTTTTAGATTGAATTACAAAGAAACAAAGCAACCCACAGAATCAACAATTCAACATGGGTCGCCAATTTCCGTTTTATCTACATGCCTTTTCATAACAATCAACTATGACATGCATATTGTGATCAAATACCTTGATAGTTCGATCTGCAGAACCAGTGGCAAACCATGTATTACTGGGATCAACGGCAACAGATCTCACCCATCCTAAGTGACCACTGATGACCTACAGGAAATAAATCATGGTTAAATCTTAGCTAAAGTTATGTCAGTCAGTAGTATTATAATTTGAAGGGTTTTCAGAAAAATTAGGTCGGCCAGACCTGATTAGAATGAAAAACTTAAAGACATTTGTAAACACAGAAACCAATTATTCTGGATACAATGTCAGCATAAGAATACACAAGTTTTCAAATTGAAATTTGTGATGGTGTAGAACTATATTGTTAAGAGAGAGGTCTGTTGCACTCTTATTTGCTGTAAAGCATTACGAGTTCTATGCTTTAGATTTCAAAAAAAAAAATTAACAGCACAGTGGATGCCAACGCAGAAATCTCTCACATTATTATCCAGCACAAAATTTTGGTAATAAACAGAACAAACCCTTGTGTAGTAGTGTAAAAACAGGTTCCTTGGCTAAACTATTAGATAGTGAACCAGATATCACCAGTTACATTCGTTTTGGTAAGAGAATCTGAGAGTGAAAAATAACAAACCCTAATGCCCCTCGTCTATCATTGAGTAGTTTTAAAAAGTGGTCAAGTAGTTCTCACCCTGTAGTTTTTCCATGGTGCATGCCACACAGGTCGTGGCCATTTACTTGGCATTCTTTCCATCAAAGCAGATGTTGAGAAATTCCTGTAATACAGAAACCACAACAGTTTAGTCAAAAAGGTCAAACCAACAGAATTTCCACCCTGTATACATTCATGTTGAGTAAACATAGAAGATAGTATACAGAATCAAGTTAATGAGCACCGAGATAAGCTCTTAAATGATAAGGGCATCGAGAGAAAGCCAGAACCTTTCGGATGAGCCAGATGAAGAAACAACTAATGTACTTTTTCCCTGAGAACCAAGACCATTCCTGTAAAGAAACAAAAACATAAGAACCAATAGTATTTAACAGCTGTTCAAAAAAATTGCATGAAGGTGCTGCATGTGACACAATTATGTTTCATTCGGAAACTATGGCTTTCCTTTCTACAACAGCACGGAATAGTAATGAAAATCAATTTCAAGATACTGTATTTAAATCTAAGAATATACAGAAAGAAAAAAAACATCAGAACACAAGAAAAATTAAATTGAATAGAATACTTCCCAAGGCATGGAATCCTTTTATTTTCTTCTTTTGAAAATAAAATGCCACAAACTTCCATCAACTTTTGCAATCGTTTATGTTTACGATAAACAATTTCATGAAATATTGAAACCCAAAGACGCACTTCAAAAAAATATTTTAGAATGCTGAGCACCACATGATTAATTACTAGTAAGCATTTGCAAGCAGAACATATGATTCAAATCCTAACTGTTATAGAAGCTAATATGTCAGAATTTAAACTTAATATTTGCCGAGTTATGAAGCAAATATTTGATAACAATGACCCAAACAGGTTACTCGCAAGTAAAAATTGTACCTAGCCAACATATGTACATAAAGTTTAAGAAAAAATATTCTTACGTTGCTGTGGATGGCATAGCTGGACCAACAACCAAAGCTTTTTGGGGCCCTCCTTTTGGAAGATCCGAATTTCCTGGACCTACCATATTAATACACTAATAGATGAGAAACCATAGCAACATTTTAGGCACAAACACCCATGTCGTGTTAATTTCTGAAGAATAATTATATGAAAAATACTAAAGAAGATACCATGAGATACCATGTCAAAACTCCAAATAAAAGGGAGAAAAAAACTTGGTATAGGACAGGATTTCAAAGAGAATCAAATCAAGCAACCTAAAACAAACAATTACAAGGAATGAAATAATCCACAAGACAACACATCAAAGGCCAAAATCCAAATCCAGTTGTTGTAACAACATTACAACCACATAATATAGAAAAAGAAATATATAGTTCAAGATTCAATAGTTATGTAAAAAGTAACATACAACAAGAATTAGCATTCTCAAAAATTATTTCCAAAAAGATTTGATGTCATGGACAAAAAAAAACCCAACAATGTTACACTCATAATGATATAATAAAACAACGCCAATGTATCAAAACAAGAAATTGTATGTAAATGCAAAAAGAAGCTGAAAAACCATATCAACCTATGAAGCACGGACACTTGTAGAAGTAGGTGTGTCGTGGTGTCCGACACTTGTATGACACTCGTACGACACGTGTTGTAAAAGTCAAATAAGTGTCGGAAAAGTCAGACAACTGTCTCTAAAAAATTGGTTTTTCTTTGCTTTGACACATATTGAATCAGTGTCCGATACCCATATGAACTCATACAACACGATAATTCAGACAAGTTTTTTTTTTAAAAATTGTGTTTTTCTTTTCCTCAACACACTTTATACATTTTCTAGACAATTCTAATGCACGATTAGAAGGGTTAAACATGTAGTGAAGCAATGTTATCAATGAAAAACTAAAGACATTAATTTTGATTAGAATATTTTTAACTCTTTCGATATTAGATGAATAAATGAAATTCAAATACTATCACATATATAGTGATGTTGGTGTCCTAGGTTTTTGACATATCAGTATCGGAGTGTCCATGTCCGTGTTGTGTCACAGTGTCCGTGTCGGAGTCTGTGCTTCATAGATATCAACCCACAAATCAATTCACCATCATACCACCAACTAGATAACTATATCAATAAACCGAGATGATACCTTTATTATTATAAGTATCATATTCATATTCATACCTGGAAGAGCAAGTGCGTTAGAAGACCCTGCTTGTTGAGAGTTATCCTTTGTCTGCTGGGGAGGTTGAGTAGTATTTTTAATTCCACCATACTCAGCATTGACCTAATTTTATTACAAACCACATTAGCATAACTGCATCTATTCATAATTATCCCACAAACAAAAAGAACTTGATAACCCTTAGACAAATCCAAAATGTACACAATTCAAATCCTTGCTTAATCAGGGGCACTAAGATTACAAAACTAAAATTAACAAAACTTAAATCAAACCAATTGTGAAACTAACCTTGTAATTGATACGAATTTTCTTGCTGCATGATAACAAAGAAAGAAAAACATAAGTGAACTAGACGATGCGTAAAAAGGTGGAGAATTATGAAGAGAATAGGAAAAAAGGGTACCTTTCGAGATCGGGAGGAGCAAGTTGTTGATGAACGGGGGAGAAGAGATCGAGTGCGCGTTTGAGAGACTTGAAGCTTAGCTTCTTCAGTGATTGTGGTTCTACTGGTTCTACCTCCATTACGACGACGTTTAAGAGGTGTTCTAGGATAGGGTTTATTCGCCACTCACTGATTCAATACAGTGATAATGGGAAGGAAAGAATACGCTGCGCTCTGCTTCCGATGGTTACAAACGGAACGCTGCGTCTCAACTCTCAAGACACTTTCTGATTGTGAATAAGTTGGGATTTAGTCGGTTCCGATTTGGGCGGTTCGGCAGAACCCTATACTCAACTCAATCAAATTTTTTGGTTACCGATTGAATTTTTAAATTGGGTTAAATATATTTACAATTTTTTAAATATTTTAAATTTCAACGATGAAAATTTTTTAATAACGTAGTGTAAAGATAGTGACGTGGCATGTCACGTGACTAAGATCAAGAGAATTATTTGAATCTATGAAAAATTATAATTAATTTGTAGCAAAAGGCATAATTAATGAGCAAATTTAATCTCTAAAAATTCAAACACACATTTCTTATCCATTTTAACTATTTGTTTTAAAAATTAAAATACCTAACATTGGCTTACAAATTTCATAAACTTTAGATAGGGCATGAAAAGTGGATCTAAACTTCATTCTTTCTCTAATTGTACTTGTTTGTTTCAGTGTTGTTGTGAATTTTTGAGTTTTCTAAAACAATATGTTTGTTTGGTTTGAGTAATTTTATGTTCTTGCTGGAACCCTTTATAATTAGTTAAATAACCCCTAGGTTAGGATTAAATTTGGTTTGGAGTGTGGGTTAGTGAGGGGAATGGGAATGAGGAATGGAATTAGGATGGAAATGGAATGGAAAATCGAATGGAAATTTGAATTCTGGGTTGAATTAAATGATGAAAATGAATCCATTCTAGATCCTTCAAATGATGCACATGTGAAATAAAAAGGCGGAAATGATTAAAAATTCTACAGTGTTGAAAATTAAAACATTTAGGCAAATTTCGCCTTGGTTAACCGGTTAACCAAATTTTCCTAACAAATGGTTAACCAGTTAACGCCTTTGAAAATTCAAATTTTGGCGTCATAAAGAGGGAAACGTGGAGAATTTCCTGCTTCCATCTGTTATAAGCATAGTTTGACCTTTGATATTGCACCTATATAACACCTGAAATAAACTGTGAATTGTCTTCTGCATTCAAAATAACCTACTGAAAAAGTATAATCAGGTATCCGATTGCTGAGCAAAACAACTGCTGAAGCCTCTAATGTCTGCAATAAAAAAAACCTTGAGCCATAGAAACACCTTGATCCCATGTCTCAAGAGTCAATGTCATGATATGCAAATGGAAAATGAACGAAACATAAGCCAGTTACGGTCAAAAAGAAAAGGGGAATTTTTGGTGTGCTACAACTGCCCCTATTCAATCGACTTAAACCATGAAGGAATGATAGCATCAACTTTCAAATGTTCGAGGTGGAAGGTGATTGAATACCAAAAGAACCCAGAAATTTGCACACTGCAGGGAGTAACAAGGGTAGGATGCCAACCAAAAGTTAGAACGAAGGATATTAACCAAAAGTTAGGATACAACAGCGGAGAACTTCGACCGAAGGCGAAATCACATCAAGGAATACCAACAAAAAGTTGGAACTCAAATAGGGGATAGTAACCAAGAGTTGGGATAACAAGATACTAACCAAAAGTTAGGATAACAGAAGAAGAATGTGGACCGAAGACAAACTTGCAACAAAGGATACCAACCAAAAGTCGGAATAACAAAGGTCACTAACCAAAAGTTAGCATAAAATAAGAGTACTAACCAAAAGTTAGGATGAACGGAATATATCAACCAAAAGTTGGGATACAACAAGGTATACCAACCAAAAGTTGGAAAAATAAACCGAGGGATACCAACCAAAAGTTGGGAAACAACAAAGAATATTAACCAAAAGTTAGGATAAACAACGGAATATACCAACCAAAAGTTGGGATAAGGATCAAGAGATACTAACTAAAAGTTAGGATAAAACGGAATATACTAACCAAAAGCTAGGATACAACAAGGGATACTGACCAAAAGTTGGGATACAACAAAGGTACTAATCAAAAGTTAGGATAACAAAGGAACATACCAACCAAAAGTTGGGATCAAATAGAGAAAATTAAACAAAAGTTGGGAAACAACAAAGCATACTAACTAAAAGTTAGGATAAAAAGTGAAATATATCAACCAAAAGTTGGGATAACGATCAAGAGATATTAACCAAAAGTTAGGATAAAATGGAATATACCAACCAAAAGTTGGGATGCAACAAAGAATACTAACCAAAAGTTAGGATAAAACAACCCAAATACTAACCAAAAGTTTGGATACAACAAAGGGTACTAACCAAAAGTCACAGCAAAGGGTACTAACCAAAAGTTATGATATAATCAAAATATGGATACCAACCAAGAGTTGAGATAGCAACCAAAGGATACCAACCAAAAGTTGGTATACAACAAAGGTACTAACCAAAAGTTAGGATAACAAAGAAATATACCAACCAAAAGTTGGAATAAACAGAGGGTACCAGCCAAAATGTAAGTGCTTTTGATTGGCTGCATTTTATGAAAAAACATTAATGTATGAGTAAATGTCATAACTGATGTTAGGACATACTTGAAGAGTGTTATGCAAGGAAAGTTATAAGTAAGTTGAGTTGGATGTCATACTGAATGTCATGACACTGAGCGTATGACATCAGTCGCGCATGTTTGTTTTTCTAGTATTCTGAATGAGGAAGCTCAGGCTAGAATTCAGGAAACTTTATAGAAGCTCAAGATGGAAGTCAGGAAACATTTCAGAAGCCCTGGCGAAATTAAATGTACCTGGCCTGAGTGGTAAGTGCAGTTTTTTGAAGAAAGGTTTGGGTAAACCTAATTGTTGCACCAAGGCCCAAAGCAGGTCTGCTATTATAAATAGCAGAAGGATCATTCCAACTGAGGCAGACATACAGAGGAGAAAGCATCTAGTGAGATATCATAAAGTGTGTGAGTGAAGAACCGTGTTCTTTATGTGAGTCTAGGAGTCTTAGGATTCCTTGTGTGCCAAGCAATTGTATGCTATAGAATTGTTGTGGCTATTGTGTCTGAACAGGTGTGTTCATTGAAGTCACTCAAAGCTTTTAAGCAAGAGTGTGTGTCCCTTGATCAAAGTTGTGAAGCACGATCAAAGTGTGTGGTTGAAGTGTATCTTCATAACTTTTCTGTAATTGTGTATTAATATCACTGTAGTGTGATCGAGGGAGAGTGAGTGGGCATACTCAGGTCTAGAGTGTCTCTAGGTTGAAGTGCCATTGGGTAGGTCTTAAGTGAGGAGTGCAAACTGGGATTATTTGGCTCTGAATTAATTCTACTGATAGTGAATTTCCTCTCTGGCTTGGTAGCCCCCAGATGTAAGTGTTGTTGACACTGAACTGGGTAAACAATTACTATGTTATTTACTGCCTTCCTTTACAGCTTTTTAATTACTCCAATAGTCAGTGTTACAGTGGATGTTATAACATCTGTGATAACATCCATCGTGTGCTTGCTAGAATTTCAATTGGCATCAGAGCTGGAACCCTGCCTGTTATATCTGGGTGAGATTTAGGGAAGATAAATTCGGGTACTATTGATAAAGACATAGGATTCACAAATAGACCTCCAATTCTGGATGGCTCTAACTATGACTATTAGAAACCTAGGATGATTGCCTTCTTAAAGTCTTTAGACAACAAGGCATGGAGAGCTGCAAACTCTGGCTGGGAACATCCTGTGAAGACTGACAAGGATGGAGTATCTGTGTTAATTCCTGAAGAGGAATGGAACAAAGAGCAAGAGGCCTTAGCTCTTGGGAACTCTAAAGCATTGAATGCATTATTCAATGGAATAGACAAAAACATCTTCAGACTGATACACCATTGTGGATTGGCTAAGGAGGTCTGGGACACTCTCAGAACAACTCATGAGGGAACCTCAAAAGTGAAGATGTCTAGACTTCAAATGCTGACCACAAAATTTGAAAGCCTAAGGATGAAAGAGGATGAGACCATTCATGAGTTTTACATGAACATTCTTGAACTTGCAAACACTTCAGGAACCTTAGGAGAAAAGATGCCTGGAGAGAAACTTGTGAGAAAGATTCTCAGGTCCTTACCTAGAAGGTTTGCAATGAAGGTCACTGCCATTGAAGAAGCCCAAGACATATGCCACATGAAGGTGGATGAACTCATTGGTTCTCTCCAAACCTTTGAGATGGGATTGTATGATCAGGCTGTGGAGAAAAAGAACAAAAGCATAACTCTTGTTTCAAACACTGCAGATGACTCAGAAGAAGAAGATGGTGAAAATGAGGAGAACTTGTCAGAGGTCATAGCTTTGCTTGGAAGACAATTTAATAAATTGATCAAAAGGATAGACCACAAGTCTAAACCTTATGCCAAGAACATGTTTGACATCAGCAGAAGGGATAAGTCTGAAGAAACATCCAGCCAAAGCAAAGGAGTTCAATGCCATGAATGTGATGAATATGGACACATTATAAAGGAATGTTCTACTTACCTTAAAAAGAAGGGAAAAGGCCTAACTGTCACCTGGTCTGATGGAGACTCTGAGAGTGGATCAGAAGAAGAGTCTGCCAAACATGTCAGTGTTCTGAACAGTGTGTGCATGTCTGATGATGATTCCAGCAAAGAAGAGGTAACCTTCGATGAACTGGTTGCCTTATATAAACAGTTGTGCATGAGAAGTGCTAAGGTATGCCAACTAGGGGAAAAGCAAAAGAAAATCATCAAAGAGTTGGAGGATGAGAAAAAGGAGCATCTGGAAATTATAGACTCTCTCAAAAATGAGGTCAGCCTGTTGGAATCAAAAATGGATTAAATGTCAAAATCCATATGAACGCTCAACCCTGGAACTAACACTCTAGAAAAAATTCTACAGAGTGGTCAGAAGGCAGGCAACGTGTCTGGACTAGGATTTGTTGGTGAATAAAAGCCTAGCTTGGGGTTCAAGAAGACAAAGCCAAAATTTCAGAGGAATAACCTGATGTCA